ATAAAGTGTGAAGTTTTTGTCATGAATAAGTGTTTAGATAAATAATGACATGAATCATGATGAAGCTATATGTCTTGTCATAGACGCAATTCATTTCATTATTGTAGATGAATATTTTGGTAGATTCTATGATTGTTTCTGGTAACTTTTTGTGTTTCATATTATGATTGTTATATTTATTTGTTTCACTGCAGAAGGAGATAGTTTGTGTCTCCCAACATGAAGAGAAAGCGTTACTATCAGTTGAACCATACGTTTGATCCATGTCGTAAGTGCTTTATAAGATGCTTCGTCACCAATATGCATTTAGAGGTGGAAGTGAGTGATTCAATATCATCTGACTGTTTTGTTGGTCTGTTTGGTGGCAGCTTTCGAGGTGTTCTGTTCAGGGACATGGAAGGCCGTGGAGTACTTAAGAGTCGAGAGTGGATCGATGACCATGCGACTTTTTGAGAACGGGCATGTACTGGATGATGTAAAACCTTTTCAAAGCCTTCGTCTTAGATCAAGAAAGGCTACTCCTATGGACTGTACCACTTTTCTTCGACACGGTGTTGATGTTTGTGTTCACTATCAGAAAGATGATGCGACTTTAGAGCATGACTTGGACCCGGTATATATACATTTACTTCTCTCTTGAACTATGGGCATTTGGTTTACTGTTGTGAGATTCTGTACAGAGCCGACCATGAGATTTTGGGTGCCGTAGGCAATTTAGTAAAGATTTCAATAAATAATTATTTTTTGACAAATTTGGTGGCTTATGTATATTTAATTTTCTTCAAAATTTTTGAGGCTAGACGCGAATGTTTCATCGGCTTTGTGGCCCTGATTCTGTGTGTGGTGTAGGTGTGGGTTGATGCAAAGATAGTATCTATAGAGAGGAAGCCTCATGAACCTGAGTGCTTATGTGAGTTCTACGTCAGCATCTATATAGACCAAGGCTGCATTGGTTCGGAGAAGCATAGGATGAATAGAGCTTCTGTGCTCATGGGACTGGACCAAATCTCCATTCTACAAAAGTTCCCCAAGGAACAAAGCTTGGACCGGTTCTACAGATGGAGATACTCTGAGGACAGTGCTTCACTGGTGAAAACAAGGCTTACACTCGGCAAGTTCATGCCTGATCTTTCTTGGCTTCTTGTTACATCAGTCTTGAAAAGCATTGTCCTCCATATCAAAACTATCCAAAACAAGATGGTGTATCTGATTGTGAATGATGAAGAGTGTAGTAGTTCTTCTTTGAGTGCAATGAATATAACGGTGGAAGATGGAGTTCACATGTCAAAGGTGGTTACATTCAATCCAGATGAGGATGACACTCTTGCTCTAGATTATGTCCATGTAGAAAAGGAGGAGGAGGAGGAAAGTGAAGAGGAGGAGATGATGGAACTGCGTCGATCCAAGAGAAGAAACATGAGGCCTGAAAGATATGGTTTCTCTGGGGTTCAGCCAGATTCAAAGGATGGATGGGTAAGGCTGATGCCATATAAGTACAGCACATGGACTGATGACGATGAAGATGATGAAGATAGTAATGATGATAGAGATACAGATGATGATTTGTACTTACCCTTATCACACTTCTTTGGGAAAAATAGCAGCACAAAGGGGTTTAGTAAGGGTAAAAAAAGTGAGATTGTTTTGGTAGACAAAACTGGGAGGAAAAAGAAGATGAAGATGAAAAGAGATGGAAGTGGTCGAAGTCACGAGCTCTCAGTTATTCCCTTCACTCCAGTGTTTGACCCCATACCATTGGAACAGTTTGGTTTCAATGCAAACAGTTTGTGTAGTGGTGGATTCTCTGGAAATAACTTGATAGATGAGATGGATAGGTATCGTAGTAAACCTTCTAAATACGGGAAGAAGAAGCTGTGTGAAATGGATGAGATGGAATCTGACCTGGGTTGGATTGACAACATGAGTAAGTCGTCGGTCCAAAAGAAAACAGGATCACACTCCCGGATAAGGTCTCGTTTTGGGAAAAACGGACATTCTGATGAACCGCAGATATTTAAGAGGAGGACACTGAGCGCAGGTGCTTATAACAAGCTGATAGAATCATACATGTGTAATATTGACTCCACAATTGCAGCCAAGAAGGAAACAAACAGTGTTGTTGAGCAATGGGAAGCGTTAAAGAACCCCACAAGCACTTCAGTGGAAGCTGAAGATGAAGATGAAGATGATGATGAGGTTGATAGTGAGGGAGAGACGTCAGAGAATGAGATGTTATGGAGGGAGATGGAACTATGTATGGCTTCTTCTTACATTCTTGATGACAGTGAGGTAATGTTCTTTTTGGAAATATTTTGATTACTTGCCTAACAAATGTATCTTTTATATCTCGTTATATAATATTAGCGTTCTAAGATATTCGTCTATGCATTCTCAAAAAAATGGGTCTACCTAGGTGTTCAAAAATTCGGTCTATATAATTTATAGTTCCTTATAAAGCACCTAATTGCTGCCTACCGATTTTTTAAACATTGTTATATATATATGTATATATTGGATCTTGAAAATTACAGGTAAGGGTGGATAATGAGGCGTTCCAGAAAGCAACAAGTGCTTGTGAACATGATTATGAACTGAATGAGGAAATAGGAATGTGTTGCAGATTATGTGGTCATGTAGGCTCGGAGATAAGAGATATTTCTGCACCTTTTGTAAGTAGTGAAACTCTGGAAGATGCATTTTTAAAACTACTAGCAGTGTTCTACTTCTAATCATGTTACATTTTATTGACAGTCGCGACAAAAGAAATGGACCACGGAGGCTAAGCATATCAACGAAGAAGACATTGAGACTAAGGTGAAACAAGATGGAGATGAGAGAAGCCACAGTTTCACTATGCCTGTGGCTTCCTTAGAAGAGGTTCCCTCAGCTGAAGAAAGTGAGAGCGTTTGGTCACTAATACCACAGCTCAAGAGAAAACTACACATGCACCAGAAGAAAGCTTTTGAGTTCCTCTGGAGAAACCTAGCCGGGTCAGTGGTTCCCTCCATGATGGAACCAAGTTCAGAGAAGATAGGGGGTTGTGTGGTTTCTCATACCCCTGGAGCTGGCAAAACATTTCTCATCATAGCTTTTCTTGCAAGCTACTTGAAGATATTCCCTGGGAAGAGGCCATTGGTTCTTGCTCCCAAAACAACATTGTACACATGGTACAAGGAGTTCATCAAATGGGAGATTCCGGTGCCGGTTCACTTGATCCATGGCCGTAGAACCTACTGTGTAGCCAAAGAGAACAAGATTCAGTTCAAGGGGATTCCAAAACCGAGCCAAGATGTTAGTCATGTTATCGACTGTTTAGACAAGATTCAGAAGTGGCATGCACAGCCTAGTGTTCTTGTAATGGGTTACACTTCGTTTCTAACACTGATGAGAGAAGATTCCAAGTTTGCTCATAGGAAGTACATGGCTAAGGTACTTAGAGAATCTCCAGGGCTTCTGGTTCTAGACGAGGGACACAACCCGAGGAGTACCAAGTCGAGATTGCGCAAGGCTTTGATGAAAGTTGACACTGACTTGAGGATTTTGCTTTCTGGTACATTGTTTCAGAACAACTTCTGTGAGTACTTCAACACTTTGTGCTTGGCTAGACCCAAGTTTATTCATGAGGTTCTAATGGAGTTGGACCAGAAGTTCAATACCAACCAAACTGTTCAAAAGGCGCCTCACTTGATTGAAAACAGAGCCAGGAAGTTCTTCCTTGACATTATAGCCAAGAAGATTGACACAAAAGTTGGAGATGAGCGGTTACAAGGTCTTAACATGTTGAGGAACATGACCAGTGGTTTCATTGATAACTATGAAGGAAGTGGAAGTGGAAGTGGTGACGTTCTTCCAGGTTTGCAGATCTACACATTGTTGATGAACTCCACAGATTCACAGCACAAGACTCTTACCAAACTTCAGACGATAATGTCGACTTACCATGGTTATCCCCTTGAGCTGGAGCTTCTCATAACCTTAGCAGCTATCCATCCTTGGCTGGTCAAAACCTCCACATGTTGTGCAAAATTCTTCAACCCTGAGGAGCTTTTCGAGATCGAGAAGCTCAAGCATGACGCCAAGAAAGGATCTAAAGTCATGTTTGTGCTAAACCTAGTGTTTAGGGTGGTCAAGAGGGAGAAGATCTTAATCTTCTGCCACAACATTGCGCCAATCCGCTTGTTTCTTGAGCTATTTGAGAATGTTTTTAGGTGGAAGAGAGGGAGAGAAATCCTTACCTTAACAGGGGATCTTGAGCTGTTTGATAGAGGCAGAGTGATAGACAAATTTGAAGAACATGGAGGTCCTTCTCGTGTTCTGCTGGCTTCCATCACAGCCTGTGCAGAAGGGATTAGTCTAACCGCTGCTTCGAGGGTGATCATGCTTGACTCGGAGTGGAATCCTTCCAAGACAAAGCAAGCAATAGCACGCGCGTTCAGACCAGGACAGCAGAAAGTGGTGTACGTTTACCAGCTCTTGTCCAGAGGAACACTTGAGGAAGACAAATACAGGAGGACGACGTGGAAAGAGTGGGTCTCAAGTATGATTTTCAGCGAAGAATTTGTGGAGGACCCCTCACAGTGGCAAGCTGAAAAGATTGAAGACGATGTTTTGAGAGAGATCGTAGAGGAAGACAAAGTCAAATCCTTCCATATGATCATGAAGAACGAGAAAGCTTCAACTGGTTGATGATTTATTCTTGTAACAGCTTTCTGTCTTGCAATAAAACTAATCAAATATCACAACTGTGTAATAATTATCTTAAATAAATGTATTAAAATGGAGTCAAGGAATATATATGATGATGATACTTGGCAATAATAAAACTGTTGTTTTGTTCCTACAACAATGTTACGAATAAACTTCTTCATCTTATCTCTATGAGTCACAGACTGAGAGAGAAATCAAAAGCATGCCTACAATAACATTTCATCTCTTCCCTAACCAACAACGAAAGTATTTTTCACAGAGCTCGAAATTAAATGTTAGGACAACCTATACGGTTACTTTTTCCTTTGACTTTGGTGACTTCTACTGTGTGACATGGAAGGAATCTTCGAGGCCATCATCGATGATTGCAGACCTTCAAGTAGCTGGAGAGCAACGCACATAAATTCAAAAGTGAATCAGGACTATATTAAGCGATTGCCACACAAAATTAAATGTAATATCCTGTCCGTATACTTACTCTAGAAGTTGGCTGAATCCTGCGGACAGATCTACGTGGTTCCATTCCATCTGATGCTTCTGCCAACGTCTTGCCCTCTTCAATCTTCGCCAACCTTCCTGCAGTAGGAGCCACTTTCCCTTTACCAGTAGTGCTCGAGGAGGAACTTTCTGGGCCTTGAGAAGACGAAGTTGTTCCAGATGCAGAATCTTTGTTCTCTCTACTCTGTCCAACGGCATCTTCAGATTCCATATTTGAGGCTGTTGTACTACGCGAGTCCTTGCGGGGAACTATCCTAGATGCAGCAACCGGTTTCTCTTTGGTCTTGGCCACAGTTTTGAAACTCTTGGGCTTCGATGTTGTTGTCTGTTTCTCTCTCGGTTTAGAAGGCAGTCTCCAGCTCCCTGGTCCTGGATTTTGGGGCACAACTGGTTTCACAGGCTTAGCTGGTTCCTTCCGATCTCGAGTTTTCTTGCTCGCCTCTGATACGTAGTGTTTACTAACGTCCATGAACTTCCTTTTCTTTCCAGGTTTAGGGACTCCATAAATCACTTTTGCTCCCTGCGTTTGCAAACCGGTTCTCTTCATTCGGTGTGGACCAGGATTGCCCTCTTCTCTGGTACTTGTCCCGATGTTAAATGTAGGCTCTGAAACACCGAGGTCAAGAGCACCAGTCTGAGGCGGTTTACCTAAATCCGGATCATCAACAATCTTCATTTTCGTGTCTTTTCCTTCAGCCACAGGAGCGGGAGCTCCTAGTCTCTGCCGCTTTTCCTTTGGAGTATCACCCTGCAATTCAAAATTGCGAGTCTTTCAAAATAGCTAAAGCATCCAAAAGAGATCTGTTTAGCTCCACAAAAGGGTCATAGTACCTCATGTGACGAGCTGATTTTTTCTCCTGACGTAGAACATTCAATCCACCTTCCATCTTTCCATTCAAGAGAAGGACGAAGATTCCAAGCTTTGATCATCAAAGTCTCTCCTTGTGCTGCCAAAAGGAAAAAGAAAATTATGAGCACACTGGTACAGACAAGTAGTTTAGAGCATGAAAATGAAACATCTTCATCACAGGTCTTTACTAACCTGGAAAATGCACAGTCACTGTATTTTCATCTTTTTTGTTCTTCTCCAAGATAACACCCTCCAACCAACTAAAGGAGAACACAACACATAGATAAAGCTAGTGGAATAATAGGTTTCACAAAACGGAAATTTGAAAACGATAAAGATTTTTTGTTGTGGGCTCATTGCTGTTAGGGGCTCGCATTAAAACCGCAGGCAAAAGAGATGTTAGTTACCTGTCATGGACCCACGAGTCTACTCTATCCCCAATTTTCCAAACATGATCCCCAATGGCAGCTCTACGTCTCTTCCTGGTTCCTTCATATGGCACGGCCGTAATAGAACGAGCAGTTCTTATTTTCGGGGACTCATCACCTTCACCTTTGAGGGCTACCCACTCCTTCAGCTTATCTGTTCCTGATAACAGATAAAATAATCGGATCAACTAAATAGAGTACTGCACATGCATAAAATATAATAATGGAAAGTGGGTGATTATAAACGGTTACATATCTATCATACACTTGGAGCAATATATAAAGTAAAATGATAGAGAACGATTAAATGGGTCCCTGACTTGTCAAGCCATTGAACTACCAAATACAGATCACTGCAAGGAAGGACAATATTAAGGAAAATTTTGTGGCAAACTAATAACCTTGTTCTACAGAAAGGTCGTTGAACAGCACGTAAGCTTTCCCATCCTCTAAGCTCAATACATTGGCAGAGTACCATGCAGTTCTTAACTCAGGTCCTTCCTTGAAAACCTACATAGGGTAATTTTATCTCCATTACAAAAAGAAACACAACCAGTTTGCTATAGAAAGTGTATGCAAAAATAACACAAACCTCTACATGAGAACCTTCCTTGATGCATTCGTCGTTTGTTGTTTCCAAAATCTGCTCACTTTCAGTCTGGGTGCTAATCGAAGATTTTGACCCAACTTCTGGCTCAAAAACTACAGCAGTTTGTTTAGCCAAGTCTGTACTTTTATGACCCTTCTGTCCAGTTGCTTTCTTTCCACTAACAGAAACTAGACCGGATAGACCATCTGCCGTTCTCACAGAGCCACCCAACTCAGCATGGGCAGTGCTGGGACTAGTAAAAGCTCTGTCACTAGTAGTCACAGTTTCTTTTTCTAATACACCCACTTTACCGGGCTGCGCTTCCTCGGATTCTTGAGGCTGCCTCCAATAATTACTTGGACCCAACTCCACCAGCTTATTGAGCGACGGAGGAGAACCCATTGAAACAAGTACTCCAGCTTGTGAAACCGCCTCTGATGCCAGTTCTGCTGCCTTAACAATGGAATCCATATTTTCAGCTCGTTTGGTGGCTGCGGTGGCAGCCTCGACCCTCTTCTTAGCCGCCTCTCTTGCAGCACTAAGGAACGGACTGGAGCTGACCACTGCACCTTCACCCTGAGAAGAAACACTTGGAAGGGATGCTTCTTCAGCCATTAATTTGGCCTGAAATGCCGCATTAGCTGCAACATTAGCGGCAGCAGCTGCAGCCTTCGCCACTGCAGCAGCAGCAGCTATGGAAACAGCAGCGGAAGCTAATCTTTTTTGAGTTTCTGGCTGGAGGCCAGCATGCCTCTGTTGCTCTATCTGCTTCCATACATATTCGCTGTGACTAACGGCTGCAGTAGCAAGAGCAGAAGCATCCTCTGCATGCATCTTAGCCTCATTAAGTTTATCAATGGTATCTACCGGCAACACAGACCTCTGCTCCACTTCAGATACAAGGTTACCACCAAAAATTGGGGACTGCAAAGACGATTTCATTTTCTTACCGGTGAACGTAGATACCAGGTTCATAGGGACCGTAGAGATGGAGTCAACACTGGGTAGGGTGCTTGCGTAAGAAGCCAAACTACCCGGAGCAGCTGTAACAGGCACAGGTGTTGATAAAGAAACAAGAGGTGAGACAACTACTTCTGTCTGCTGCAGCGAATTCAAAATGCTTGGATCAGACTCCACAGAGACTGGCATTTTCTTCCGTTTCCTTGATTTCGCTCCAGTGGAATGTTGAGAAGGTGCTACAATTGTACTGGCTGGCTCAAGTGTTTGTGTCCCTTTGAAAACATTGCCAGAAGTTCCACTCAGAACATGCTTACCGCCAGAGTAACGCAAGGACGATTCTTTTGTGGGTGTCAATTTTACAGATTCGAAAACGGGGAACCTAGAACCAACATCGAACCCACTGGTCTGCGGAGAAGCAAGCCAAGGGTTGGGGTAAGGGAGAGGGGACATCCAAGCCGTATTATGTCCAATATTCGTAACTGGTGCAGCTTGATGAGCATGCGATGAAGAATGCAGTGGTGCAGCAGCTGAACCTCTCTGAATGCTTCTTGATTGTAAAGTTTCGAGGGGAGTTGACAAACTCCATAAGGGTGATGAGAGCGGAATTATGGATTTTGCCACTGAACTAAATTTGCTACTGCTGTGACTCATTGACGGGGTATCTGTCTTCCCTGGAAATGCAGTTTCGGTATTTAGCTACGGAATGCAAGCAGCAGCAGCGCTGAGAAATAAATATAAGCAGACGATAAGAGCTAAAAATGCAGAATAAATCGAACTAGAAACCTGCACGTGATGGCAATGGCGTTTCAGGACTAGAAATACGCATTCTCTGAGCCCTTACAGCACAAGCACGCCATGCTTTCTCCCAACTTCCTCTCCCACCATCTAGAGAAGTGCAGAGTGAACATGCTTTGTCTCAAATATGGGTAATACAATAGGTTACAAAAATAACAATCTTACCTGCACCACCAAATGCAGATATCATATAAGCTTCATCAGGTGCTGTCCCTTGGCTGTAACAGGGAAAAAAGAAAAACAAAACAATTATACTTTCGTAAGACAGTAACAGATGCAAGAACTTTGAATGAGATCGCTAGTGAGTGTCACTAACCCAACAAGACTTAAGAGCATGTATAGAGTAACATAGAACTTACATCAAACCCCCATAAACAAAAATCTGTGCGCGTAGTTGCACTTGTTGCGAGTCAGTGAAAGGTCGAGGTAAAACGTTTGCTTGAGAAGAAGAATTCAGATCCAGTAGACTAGCCGTGTGGGCTGAAAGGGTATCAAACGAATTAAGAACAGGAGTCTGAAGACAGTGCTGCTTCTCAGCAGAGTGTGTGATTTGAATAGAAGAAGCAGAACTCTGAATAGCAGTATTTGCTATGCCTGGACTTTGAAAATGTTGAAAAGGTGCAGCCCCCTTTACACTATTTCCTTTTCTAGAAGTCTCTTTTCCTGCAAATTTAGGTGTTCGCCTGGGTTTACGCTCAGATTTTGTTTTCGAAGACTTTGCAGCTGTTTTCTCTAAGCTAGATTTTGAGGGAGATCCCACCACAATCTAAATCAACAAAAGCAAATGTTACGTAAGTATGATACCAACATAATGTCACAGCATTTGTTTTCTCTACTGATGAAAATATGTTCAGATATAAATCGGACGTACCGGAGGGACAAGGGTAGCTTTGGAAATTTCCACTGCTTTCCTTGGATCGGAAGTCAAGTTCAGCCCACTGTTGAAGGTCGCGTTTCTATTCAAGAACGGAGATTCTTTAGACATCAAACTCGAAGTAATCTGATCCTCTGGCTTTTTGACACTGTTTGTCTCTGTCTTATTAAGTTGAAGTTCGATCGTCTTAAGCGCTGGGGAAGAAATAACAGGAGTCCCTAAATTTGTAACAGCGTTTTCAGTTCCAATAACGTGGGACTTTACAAAAGGCTCAGAACTTGTAGAGGTACAGGACTCTCCTACTTCGATTACAACACCTACAACACCTCCAATGAGTACATGAAAATAATTGCACGCTAGAAAAGGAAAAGCATTGGTCGTTCCAAGATTCAAGACCGGTGAGACTTAGTCATAAGTTTCTTTAACAGACAGATTCGTTTACTTAAAGTTTACCCAGATTATTGATTCTATTGTGGAAATTCATAAGTATTCACACACGTAATATGTATCTTTTAATAAACAATTCTAAAAAATCAGAAGAAACTGCTAGAAAGAAAGTTTTTTGATGCTACATGATCATACAAACTCACCTCTGGGGTTTGATGAAACAGGAGTCGCAGATGTCATAATCCCACCGGATGCAGCAGTCTTATCCTCTACCCGGCAATCTGCCCCAGCTTCACCACCAAGATTAGCCAAGGAGCTAGCATTAGGGTTTTCATTTACGGCATCCTTGTCCAGAACTGACCGAGTCTCTGAGAAAAAAAAGCAAAATAAAAAGAGATTACTAAAACATAAACCAAACCGTCAAAAGGTGAACAAATATGGTAAGGTCTTTATGGAACAACAATATAAAAAGATTACCAGGGACGTTTACAGCTTCTGTTAGATTTTCTTCTAAAATTGTTTCCTCGCACTGCTGAGGCAAAACTTGTCTAACGGCATCAGCATCTACTGCATCATTTGACCCTTCAGAGGCAGGACAGCCTTCGACAAATTGTGTACTTTGCTGAGTATCTTCAGCATGCTTCCTAGGTTGTTGTACAACAGGACTACCTGAATTACTAGCTTCCACAGGTTGAATAGTTTGACAACTTAGAGGTTCGCCAGATGAAACCTTCTCGGTTACAGACAAAGTGACTTGCTCATTAGCCTGAGATGTAGTCACCATATGTAAATCTATTGAAGATATAAGACTGACAGCAGGTGCCGTTTCTTGGCTTAGATGTTGCGGTACTTCAGGATTGAGAGGAAATGCTTTACATTCTTTACCATCAATCATAGTCCCTGAGAAATAAAATGTATACACATACACATGAAGAGGGTTATAAATAATTAATTATGATAATCAATTTTGTATGCAATTACCGGCAGTACGCTAAACCCCCAAAAAGATAAAAATGCAGAAACAAATGTATGAAAAAGAGGTATATATCAAAAGAATTAGACAGTATCATTACCTGACTTGTCTACTGGAATGATGTCAGATTGAGATTTTGACTCCACCAACATGGATGCAGAGTCTCTTGAAGCATAACCAACAGACTCGGACACAAAACTTTCAGATAAGATTTCACAGCTCTTGGCGTCATGATCTCTATCATTGGCACTGAC